TAAGTGAGGCTTCAAGCCTATGTTCAAGATTTGCTCCAATTTTCGTTGACGAACGGAGTACAGCTTCTTCCTCTGTCTCCATATATACATTATTTTTATATACATAGTACATAGTAATACAAAACAATTACTAGTATCACATACCCGGGAAGTTTACTCTCCCCAACCCGATAATCAGCGGTCTACCCTTGGCAGAGACATGGCTGTATCTTGAGGATTGTCATACTTACCCTGATGAGTCTAGTTGATAAGATGGAACTAAGTCGACGATCTTTACCGCCACCTACTCTCTAAGACGCAAGGACATTGTTAAGCTATTCAGACCTTGTCAGCTTTCAAACACGAAAATCTACTAACTACTGACGAACCAATTACTGACAAAAAAAATATAAATCTACTTGCTACCAACTAACTACTAACAAGACATACACTACAAGACAACACAATCTACCTAAACCTACTGGTAGAGATTGTTTGCACTTCTTGCTCTAATCTCTATCAATATTTCAAAAAGTAGCAGAGTAGCAGAGTATTAATCAGAGTAGCTGAAGTTACATCAAAGCCCCTACACCACTACAAGGTGTCTACCACGTAGAGGATCGTAACGATATAATTTTTAATATAAATTATTGCTTCGATTGTATTATTTTTTCTTTATGTAGAAATTTTTTACATGCAGCGAGTGCTAATATGGTGCTAGGTGTCTATGCCTTAGTGATTATAATTCAAGTCCCTACATTAACAAAAATGCTCATCTTAAATACCCAATGTTTTAGTAGAGCGTAACATTTTTGTTTACAGCTGTTCTTTAGTAATTCTTGTTTATTCTGTTGATTTTTAATTTCACATGTCTACTCAGCATGTCTTCTTAGCTTTCTTTGATCTTCTCTTTGAAATTATCTTACGGCGAATACTTTTGGCAATTCTGGTTTTATTGTTTCGCTATTCCTTTGTTTTGATTCTTGTGATATGTGTATTCGATTCTGGTAGTTTTATTTATTTTTTTATTATAATAAAATAAATATTAAAAGTCTTTAAAAAAAAATATATATACCATAATTAATAAAAAATTATAAATATTATTCATTTATGTAATTATATTTCTATATTATTTATTTCAGGTGCGTGCTGCAATAATCTTTTTGCGAGGGTGGAATTTTGCAAGTAAATGTATTCATTTATTTTAAATAAAATTTAATTTAATTAGTTTTAATTTTAGGTGTCCACATTTATTTCTAGTGAGTTTCTTTGGTGTTTGGGATGATAGCAATTGTAATGTGTGTAAAAACAGATATTTTTTTTTATTTAAGCTATTCGAGCTAAAGATGTAGAATCTTCAAAAGATACTGATAGCCCGTGCTACCAGTATGCACAATTCGTGACCAAAACTTACTCTTGGTTACTTACTTTGCCAATATGAGATTCGCATATATACGAGTAGTATTAGCCTTACTGTTTCTTCTGTTGCCTAGATCCACCTGTATTGGGCATTATTCGCGATAGTACACACGTTGTTTTCGTACATGATCGCAGTTAGCTTGAGGCCTACGCCTGTGATTCACTTCTTTACCATAGCAACGGTATGTCGCATGTAATTTCTATGTTTTCTATATGTTTCCCTCTAACCACCAGTTAGAGGGACTTGATATGACATCCTTCTTTATAGTAAAAAAGCACTCTGTCTTAAAAATAGTTAACCATTATATCTATTAGGTACTTTGGGACGTTTTCCCCATCAAGTGCTGCCAGTATAGTGTCCCAGTCTGTGGGAAGAGGCCTTCAACTATTGTTTGGAGCTAAGTTGCTTTTGTTGTAACTGGTAGGCGGTTGACTGGTTGACTAAAATTGAATAGTAAAATTCGATTTCAAATATTTTTAGTTTTTTAATTTGATTGAGGAAAACGTTTCTGATTTCACTCTTAAGAAAATTTGAATAAGGTTTTGAATAAGGTGCATGTTAAGCCCTATTTAACAGCCCAGGTCGCCTGTAACCACTATTGGGTTTATATTTTTTGCGTTGTTGGCAATGTCGTCTAGTTTTTGTTTGTATTGCTCGATTGATAGACTGAGTTGTAAATAACGTTACTCCGTTGACCGTACTTTTTACCTATGCTTTCTTTCTCTCATAGACCTTCTCTAGGAAGGTCTACTGGAAGCCCAGCATTGTTTGTCTAGTGTGCTAAAATGCTCACTTATTATAATAAGGTTTATTTTTTGTTTGCAAACAGTCTGCTTTAGAAGATCCTGTCCCGCTGCACAGTAATTTAAATTCAGCTGCAAGACTCTCATCTCCATTTACTTATTATCCTTCGGTGGGCAGACAGATAAAGGAGGCATTTAAGCTCTCCCGTAGTATAGTTACTGTCGACATTCATTTTTTTCTTTTAGCCGCTTGGATATAAGTGGTATTTGCTGCGGCTGGAATGTCTGGGTACATCTATCGTTGGTTTTAGCGTTGATGGTTTGCTTCGATGTCTTTTCAGCAGTTCGTTTGTAGAGGGATGATATTGTTGCAACAAGGTCATGCATTGCTTGGTGTATAGACCTTCTTCTTCCACCCATCACCTCATTTACCTCGGATATTTTATCTCCGAGTTTAATGAACGCTCCATCGGGGATGAGTGAGCTCTCCTGTTGTACTGCCTCTCTGGTGATAGTACAGGTAACTGTGTTAGTCTCGGCGCCCTCATGAAGGGGTTTTGGCTGAGACTGACTATCTGTGACTTCTTTGCACTTTCGGTGCTAGCTGGAGTATTAATGACAGTGTGTGTAGGTGTTTTTGTTGTTGACATATATTTTGCGAGTGTGTCCCAACTTAAGACCGTTAGTTTCCTTGTATAATTACTCTTTTTGTGGTTCCATGATTATCTCTGCAATGCAATGAGGTCATTCGAGGATTGACACATGGTCTTTTGAGCGCATGTTTTCAGAGCCAAACCGGGACCAGATTTCACTGTATCCCATATTAATATAACATAATACTTCATCCACCAGTCCATGTCATCATTTCCAATCACTTTCTGTTCACCAGTATACCATTATCAGAATTTTACTGGTATCGATCGTGATGCCTTTTCTTATAGGCTTCCTTCGTTATCATATTTGGTGTGTGTATTGTAATGCGACAGCCGCCCATGACATGGGGTGCAGACACTGCGCATATCCTTCTCCCTCGGTGGTGCTGCAACCACTCCTTACATTGAAGTCAGTCGCTAGCACTTCTAACTCCCTCGCTGGCGCATCAACCGTTCCCCACAAAACAAGTCTCCCTCGTTGCCATTCTGAGATGGTAGACGCTTAGTTACAGCCGGCATTTACTCGGCTCAGCTCAGGAGCTTTTCAGTGTTTTTGTGACCTTTTAAGCCACACCCTTCGACGCCTGGCTGGATTTAAGTCGCCTCGTATGACAGGCATGCCTTACTGCGTCAATATTCTAACCTCTATCTCGCATTTCGAATGAAATAAATAAAATAATTATGTTTTTTAAACAAGAGGTCACTGCAATCATTGCTCTATCTAAAAAGTTCTTCCGAATTTTTGTTTTTTTCTTCACCTAAGCACAACAACTGCTTGCTTTAACATAATCAAGGCTTTTAAGACTTCTATAATCAATATCTTCTCAAATGTATCATTATTCATAAATTGCCCAACTTGTGGATCACCAATTTATTATGAATTTGAATTTATTATGAATTTAATTTATTATGACTGAATTTATTATGATTGAAATGGCGTAAGCTCACTTTTAATCGTTTTAAAGAGGTCTCTCAAGTTACATAGTGTGAACAAGCTATTTTAGTTTTTTTATTTAGTTTTATGTAATTCCTATGTACAAATTGGGATGCGAGTCGCACTTGTGGCGACCCAGTAGGCTATGCTTTTATTGAATTTAAAAAGGAAAATTCAATTTTAAATATTTTCAAGTTTTCTGTTTGAGATTGTGGGAAACGTTTCCATTTTTCTCTCGTGTAAAAAGTTTGATTAAAAGATTATTAACATCATAAATTTTGAGAGTTTTATTTATTAGCAAGGTTAATAGACCCTAGCTAAATTGGTGACCCCGACGTGATCTGAACGAACGGTTACGTTTTTCAAAATTACCTACTGCAATTATCACACCACCTACACTCACCCCCGCTAATACGATGCCAATATCAGCGTAGCAAACCCACGAAAATTGCACAGGTGGCACCAAATCTGCGAAAAACGACAAGCAATAATTACACTGCATCCTCCACTAACAAATCACCGGCTAAGAAACACGTTGCCATAGCGCCACGCACACCTGAAATGAAGCAGCAACAGCAGCAGCAACAACTTACAACCACTTTGATACGGCGCGGCCGCCAACGAGGCATGAGGCCAGCCTACAGATCAAAGTTATTTTCATCAAATCTCATCAACGCTCTCCACTCTCAATCACTTTGACATGGCGCGGCCGCCAACGAGGCATACGGCCAGCCTGCACGTCAAAGTTTTTTAAATCCTGTATCGCTTGTCAATTGTCTAAAGTTAATCGACACATCAAGTCACCTTTAGGCTGTTTCGCAGGTGTTTACGAGCGTTTCCAACATGTGCATATGGACATCATCGGACCACTACCACTGTCGCAGGGTAAAAGATACTGTGTGACGTGCATCGATCGTTTTTCACGATGGCCCGTGGTGATTCCTGTTTCAGACATGACGACCGAAGTCATTGCCGGCGCGTTTATCGAAGGATGGGTAGCACAGTATGGTGTTCCTCATATTATCACGACTGATTTAGGACGTCAGTTTGAATCAACGATCTTCCGAGAGTTGTCCAGACTATTGGGTATCAAGCATATTCACACCACAGCATATCACCCCCAAGCGAATGGGATGGTTGAACGTATGCATAGGACGTTGAAGGCTGCTTTGCGATGCCATAATTCTAATGACTGGACGCGCACACTCCCATTGATTCTGCTGGGGTAACGGACTTCCCCAAAGGAAGATCTAGGCGTCAGTTCCGCTGAAATGTTGTACGGAAACCCGTTACGTGTTCCAGGACAGCTGTTGTCACAGAAATGCCAAAAGCCAGGTGAAACCGATTTCGTTTCATCACTTCGTAATGCATTGGCTCAACTGAAGACAATCAACGGCAGCAGACACGGGCATCACCCAGTCTATGTTCCGAATGACCTCCTAACCAGCAAGTTTGTGTTCGTGCGTGTCGATCGGGTGAGAGCTCCATTGGAACAGCGGTATGAAGGTCCGTTTCAAGTTCTTCAACGAGATGAAAAATATTTCGTAATTAACAGAAGAGGGAGCAGGTGCACCGTCTCGTTAGACAGATTAAAACCAGCTTATTTGACTAACGATGAACTTACCGGCAAGCAGTTTTCGCCACTTCCTTTAGTCAATCATGAGCGGAAACAAGCATCCGAGAAGAAGGTTCTTAAACCGTCGGCCGTTTCTTCAAAGGTTTCGCGTTCTGGCCGAGCAGTGCATTTCCCAGCGAAGTTGTGTGACTACCGCGAGTAACTTCTCTTCATGTGTAGCGCGTCGTCGCCCGAACTCCGTCGCTAGGAGGGGGGTACTGTGGCTTGCAAAAAAAAAATACTGCAACAGTTCTCTCTAATTAATATTATTTATTTTCATTTTTTTTGTTGTAACATTTCATCGCTAAACAGCCGAATCACTACAATGTGATTATTAAATTTTATTTGTATTTTAATTTATTTCAAATTATCATTATTCAAATTTATCAAAAAAAAAAAAAAATTAATTGATTCACTTTACGACTACTTGAGTTGCGCTATCTTTGAACGTCTTTACTCATCAAAGACAAGTGCGAACTGTCGGTTCTTACCTACTTAAACCACTTAAGTATGTCCAAACAGTTTGAAAGTGATTGGATGTAGGTCAATATATATGTTAGATAGTCTTTTTATAGGAGCAATTTTGTTTAAATAGTTAAACTTTTACAATAATGAGTTACTATGAGTTTTTTCGTGACAGAATGTATTATTTTAATCTCGTAACATAATTTGCTATTTCTACAGCGAGAAGCAAACTCGTTGCTTTCAATAGCGTCAAATTAGCAGCTTTAGCCACTATTTTCGGCAAGTGACACTTGGAGAATTAAAGATAATTTTTTTGGGTCGCTTCTTATATCACAGATAACTGATAAGAATGATTATGAGGCTTTCAAAAGTCAGAAAAGGGGCTAGAATAATAAATTCTTGATATTCTTTGGCACTATAAAAACACTCTTTGAACTTCAAAAATTTTCTAAACCTTAAATATCAGTATTACTCTCTATAATTGACACAGTTTTGCTACTTATAACTCTTTACAATTATTTTTCATAGTTATATCAGAGAATTAACTTCTTGATATCTCTACAATTAATTTGACCATATCGTCTAAAAAGCATCAGGTATAAACGGTAAGTCGTTTTAGAGTAAATTCTTACTTGTTCTCCTCATGGTTCTAGAATTCATATCTATATTTCATCATGATTTTTCTTTTTCGATTGAAAAGTGCCCTTACACGCCTTGTAAGGGTACTAACGAAATGTATATTTCGTATGGCTAGGAACGATATATTTATTTGGTGATCGCAAATGGGAATTGGTATCACCTTGGGAATGTTCACTAACGAAATGTTGATTTCGTTACTAATAAATAAGGAATAGAAATGTAGATTTCTATAACTAATCAAAAAATGGGAATAGAAATATAAATATCTATTATTGACAGCCTTTTATACCGGAGAAGTGTAATATACTCTGGTGTTTTGTTAGTGTAGCTTCCTATACAAATTTCATTATTGTTTTGTTATTTATTGTGTGAATTTGGTTTTTAATAGTTGTTCTATTACACAGGTCAAAAAAAAAAAATTTTTTTTTTATCCTAGATATGTGATTGAGTGAACCTAGAGGTATTTTGCGTGCTGATTCCAAATCTGGACTTAGATTTTTTCTATCACGTCTAGTTTTCTTTAGACAACCAGATTAACGGGTGATTCAAGGGGTTTCAGCAAATAAATCGTGAATTTAAAAAATGGTACTTACTTATGTTTTTCTCGCATATTGAGCATCTGGTAAGTCCCTTTTTAGTGTCCAGCAGTAATCTGCTAACATGTTAGTGAAATTTCCTTTGTGGCGTTTTTCCATGTGTAAAATATCCTGGTGAAAACGCTCACCATGTTCATCACTAACGGCGCCAAGATTTAGGAAGTAGGAAGTGAAGTTTTAAAGACATATTGCAGCCCATTTTTTGGTATGAATCAATTAGATTAGCCACCAGATCGCGATAATTTTCAGCTAACATATTTCCTAAAAAATGCTCAACTACATTTTTGAATGAGTTCCACGCGTTAATTTCTGTTGAACTCAATTGCTGTTGAAATTCCGAGTCCTTCAGCAGTTCTCTAATCTGTGGCCCAATAAAAATACCTTCCTTAATCTTTGCCTCACTTATTTTAGGAAATTTTTGCTTCAAATAAGTAAAACCACCGCCATTTTTATCCATGGCCTTAACAAAATTTTTAAAAAGTCCTAATTTAATGTGCAGAGGTGGTAAAAGAATATTTTTAGGATCGACCAAAGGCTGGAAGAGGACATTTTTGATTTCAGGAACGAGTGCTTTACTTTGTGGCCACTCTTTTTTCAAGTAATGCAATTTTCTGTCTCTGCTATCCCACTCGCAGATGAAGCAACAATATTTCGTGTAACCAAGTTGTAAGCCTAGTAAAATTGCAATAACTTTTAGGTCACCACAAATTTTCCACTTATATCTTTCGTATTGAATTTTTTTTAAGAGAAACTGCATATTCTCGTAAGTTTCTTTCATAACAGTTCCATGGGCTAACGGTATTGAGGGAATTTCATTTCCATTATGTAAGAGAACAGCCTTTAAACTGACCTTAGAAGAATCAATGAACAAACGCCAATCATCATCGTTGTATTCAAACTTAAGAGTATCCATAACAGATAAAACATCATTGCAAAAAATAAGGTTGTTTTCTTGAGTAGTTAACAAACAACAAAATTCGGATACTTTTTGAGCAGTAGGTAAATTACGACTTTATAGCAAAAATATACATTCAACTGTTTTGAAGAATCTAGACGTGATAGAAAGAATCTAAATACAGATTCGGAATCAGCACGAAAAACACGTCTAGGATCTCTTAACAACGTCTCTAGGATAAAATCTTTGTTGACCAGTGTTATTTTTATTATATATTATTATTATTGTTTTAACGATGTGGCTCTGATTAGTAGTTGGGTACCTTTTGTATTTTATTTAAGTAGTACCTTTTTGGGCAATCATTCAATATTGGAATTGAATTCAAAATGAACGCGGTATTGTCAAGCGTAAAAAAATAGTTTTATACCTTAGCATACGTTATTTCAAGACCATGGTTCGTGATATAATGTCAGATCCTTCTTAAGATGAGCTCTTTCTGAAAATTTACATAAATGAAAACTATGGATCGCAGTGGAAGTTTTGATAAAATCTGTAATCTTTGATGTTAGTCAATCCGGCCGTTGAGATGAATGGCTTAAGGTTTGTTCATTTCTAAATGGATGTATCTGGGTAACAGGCACTCTTTGATTAAAATATAAATTTGTATGCGTATAACGAATCTCGACTTTTGTCGACTTCTACATTAAAGATAAACAATAAAAACTGTTGTAAAAGCCAAAAGTTTGGCATATCTAAGCTCAGTTACCAGAATCTAGTATTCTGTCCTTCTAAAGTATCTTCCACGTCTTCTAGCGGAGAAAATACAAAGACTGTCGAACTGTAGTTATATTACCGTTTTATTAGATAACGTCCGAAGTAACTTAGGTCAAATATGTCCTGACTTCTTCTGAAAGCATCATTGCTTATTATATGTGTCACCTTTAAAACCAGAAGCCAATAAGGTCAAATTTCGTGGATGTCCCATACTTAATCAAAATACTAAAGAGCCTAATTATTGTGACTACCATAAAACAGGATGACTATAATAGAACTACCACGTCTGAAAAATTGAGTTTGTTGAACTGACTTCAAATATTTTAATTAGAGAGTAATAGATGAGCCATACCTTCGGCGGCCTATCTATCTTGTATGGAAAATTGGATCAAGTGTTGCTGCAGGAGGAAAGTACTTTAAAAACGATAATAAAGAAAGTCATTAAAAATTAAAATTTGCGTTTTTTTTTAAATTCTCGTTCTTTTTTGATCATAAAGTATGTGGTATATTTGAAACAAAAAAAAGCTGTCTTATTCTGTCAAAGATCTAGTTAGATAAACATAAAGAATTATTGCTTTCAAATATTAAAGATGGTAATAAACAAACTATCGTCACTAAAAACAGACAAGAAGTATAAGATATCACTATTCATGACTCTCCTAAGAAATAGAAAGTCTCCACTCGGCATTTTTTCGCGGATCATATGATCTTCAAATTTATTCTAGCTATAGATACGTCAGATTTCTCAAATTCAACAACTTTCAGAAATATAAAACAACAAACCGGATAATATTTAAAGCAGTTATCAATTAGTTGAAGTCTAAGATTTGACTTTAGTGCTTAATAAAGTGCTCCACATAGCATTTCCACTCGATCTTGAATAAGACTAATACATCGTGGGAGAAAGCAGGTTTTTGTAAAAGTATTTGCAAAAGAATATAAGAGACTTTAAATACACCTGAGCTAAATAGGAATGAGGTAGAATGATCGCATTCTTAGAGAAGTAAGTCTTACGCAGATATGGGTTTCATACTGAAAGCAGGTAAGAAGAATCCCCTCCATCAAAAATCCTTCAGACCTATTTATCTCACATTTATATTTTACAGGTTTTCTGATTACTGCATTGTTTTTAAAGCGGAAGTTGTTACTATTAGTGAAGTTATAACGAAGCCAGGGATGAAATGTGTATTTAATCAGAACATATATGGTACATTAAGGTGCCATTAAGGTATATAAGCAATTTTACAGAAAAATTTTGTATGAGTGAATTTTTAATGTTTAATAGATCTATAACTTTCAAGAAAACAGGTTTTATGTGAAATTAAATATATCGGAGATATAAGCAATCAAATATGAATTTTATGGAAAAAATGGTTATTTTCCAAACTTTGGGGCTCATGGGGCGCCCTTTCCACTTATTCAATTGAACTAAAATTTACACAGATTATTTTTTAGTAAAATGAACCGATCTGGGGAGTGCAGCGGAAGTTTTTCCCTAATATACATATATCGGATAGTCAAACTGTCACACATAGTTTTTGAGTTCTGTCCAAATTACACCTAACACAATTGATGACAGTTATACATTTCCAAACGCGATGCCAACTAAGTTCAATATTTTTTCTATCCAGATTTCTGATCAAACTTGCTAGATGCTTTAAGTAGTCACTCTGAACATCTGACAGATTTAGGCTTACCGCAGATATCATGCAAACAATTGTTGCAATCTTTCTGTAATGAGCAATTTAATATAATAATATTTGATTATTTGTATTTGTATTCTAGCAATCTCAT